GTGGTGCTCAGTTCGTGACTGAGGTTAAACCATGACATTTATGACGAAATTGTTTAGTCCATTTAATGCTAAGACGACTCTCAACCAGATCTTAAATAGCTTTTTCTTAATCAGAAAAGGACCATCAGTGAAGACTTCATAGCATTTTGGTAGATACTGTCTATCTCATCCTCCTAGCTATGATTCCAGCTGCTACACTGCTGCTTGAGACTGCAGTTTATTTTACATCAAAGTTTACTTTCTCTATGCCTTGAAAGTAGCCCTATCTTGATGGAGAAGGGAGAAGGAGGGAATAATCATCAGTACATAACAATTTCTTGATGGAATATAGCGCACTGGGCAAAATGAAGGATGTGGAGGAAGAAACTAACACGTGGGTTTCTGTATGTAATTTTCTCAAACCCGAGACTGTGTGCAACGTAAGAAAAAGTGACAAATTTCTACATGTATGTGACTAAGTGAGGATTCAACATGCTACCAACTGCATCTCACCAGCAACCACTCAGAAAACAGGCAGAAGAGCATTAGCATCTTGATTTCACAAGGCAAATAAAAATCAGACAAATAATTAACCAGCTCTGGTAACAAAAGAACCAACAAAGGGATGTAGTCATGAATTTTTTGGGTAATTTCTTGGTTTAAATTATGAGTAAGATCTTTGGGTCTGCAATTCTTAGTTGTGGGATAAATTCAAAGAAACTGTGGCTTAGCAATTCCCACTGAAAGTGGTTTTCTACAGACAAATGATTTTCACTGGGTTTAGTAAGTTTCAGAATAGTTTCTTCAGGAGTGAATGCAAGTAAGGAAGTGTTTTTCATGAGCACTCTCCTCCTTACTTCTAGAAGAGCAAAGTGAGTGTCTATCCACTGGACAATTTTACATTGATGCTACTGATAAAGTATGTGTGGTTTAGGATCAAGCACTATGTATTCATTGCTAAGCAATGGTGTCCACTACTGCCTTTTGCAGAGTCCACTGCCAGTTTTATCAGATCTCCTTACTTTTAGGAAAATAGCAATCATCAGAGTAGGATTTCACTAAAAGAGCGGAGGAAGATGACAAGAAATAAATGCTGTAAGGGAGGAGAGAAGGGGGGTGGGGTGGATTCTTAAAGCCCATACCATATTACACTTAAGACAAGAGACAGCAAAGCTTAAAAGTGAGCACAAAATTGTACTATTTGCTGTCATGACAAGCAAGGTGGCACCTGTATAGCTACCCAAAAGGTCTGGTTGAAGGCACTGCAGAAATAAACCCTTTCTCTCGCACAGCTCTAGCTCTCTAAGGCTTTTTCTTTATCTTCTCCCTATTCAGCATTACTACCTTTTTCTTTGAGATGACTTTCCTTCTTGGAACGTTCCATTTCTACGTTCTTTATCCATTCCCTATCTTCTGCTGCCCACAACACATCAATAATAGTGAAAGATGATCTCATGTCCACTGACATGCTCCTGGTTCTACATCACAACAGATGCTTTGCCTCAAAATTTTCAATGCAAAACTATTTTTTTTTTTGTCTCTAGCTTTTCCAAATCTAAACACAAATTCTGAGTTTCTAACGGATCCAGGTGTGTTGTCTGGAGAATGCTGGCTTCCTTCTTTCTTTCAGTAGTTTTCTTCTCTCCCACAAAAAAAATTGTATGACTGAAAGGAGGATTCAGGAAGAGACAGATTAAACACTTCATGAATTTTCTTTCCTTCTTTTCTGATCTTTAGTACTAAAATGCCCAGTAAACTTGTATGCATACTCAACCATCAGCTGACCTTCAGGTATTAGCAAGTTCATCCATACAAACACCCCCCCTGTATTCAAGTGCATCAATTCCTTTCAAAGTACATTTCACCTGTAAATTGTAAATAAATTAAAATATTCCTATTATCTATACATGGCCACTTGTTTAAAAGTATTTTTTAAAAAAATAATGCTTTTTATCTTCCATTTAGGAAGGCAGAGAAACCAGCTTTAACATACTTAAATATGCCAACCACAGATTCTTACCACAGCTTAAATTTAGAGCCTACTATTAGATTCATCTTTTATTTACTAAGGTCAAGATTAACACTGCAGAATTTTAAGTTTTTTGAAATTGTCAGGTGTAAAGTTGCAACTTCAGATTAACACCAGAATTTTAAGTTTTTTGAAATTGTCAGGTGTAAAGTTGCAACTTCCCTGCAGAATGCTTTGTATAAAGACAAATGTCAAAGTGACAGCCTCCAGAATTTAAGTAAACCTTTTCAAATCTACAATCTTTTTCACTACTATTAATTTGCATTCTGTAAGTCCATATGTTACTATGGGGATATACACTGCTACTCAACTAATTGAGTTTTGGAAAAAATAAGTGTTAGTTCTGGAGTAGTCAATGTATGTAACAAGCATTAAAAAGCTTAGCCTCAGATTTCACAGAAAAAAGCTAGCAATACTATGAAGTGTCAAAAGAAGAACCTTCATTTTTGCATTTCTGACTTTTTCTTTTTTTTACTTCCATCCAAAAATACACTTTCGCCTTTTAAAAAAATACAGTAACGTCTCTCATCTATACACAAGTTATAAAGAATAAACGTAACCATTTATTTAGCTCTGAACAGTATTCTGAGTTCGGTAAATAACCTTCCTAATGTTCAGTTTGCTTACAGCATTTATATTTATAATTTTATACTGAACTATCATTTAGATGTCCAAGAGTTGCCTTTGTTCCTTACACTGTGGTTGGCAAAACTAATATGCTTAAAACACAGAAAAACCTGCATAGGAAGTACTCTATGTTCAAAGTATAAAAGACTAGTTTAGAAGTTCCTGACTTTTCAGACTGAAGATTTGTATTTAAGACTCTTCCTCCTCATGCCAAACTTCCTGGAATTGTTTTCTTACTGTATTTTTTTTTTTTTAAATACAGAAACATGACTTTTTCCAATACAAAATAAAACTCAACTATTTCTTTAATCTTCTCAAAAAGTTTTCAGCTGAACATTTTCAGACTGATGTCTTTTCTTAAGAGTTGAGAGCAAGTACAATAAATAGTTAAAGAGCAAAACTTAATTTGACCATTCTGTTATAATCTTAAAAAAGATAAAGAATCAAATGTCTTCGAGAACTCTGCATGTTAGAAGGTCTAACAAACCGAACAGGCCAAAAATTTAAATTCACCAGAAAACGCCCTTCGTTCAATCTCCTTCTCACTTAAGTCACCAGTAAAGACACCACTGACATCAATAACAATGAGGCGGGGGGATGCTGCTGCCGTTTTGGTTGTAGGATTGCCTAAGGTAAGGGAAAGATAGGACG